CGTCCTTGAGTGTTTGTCCACTTTTGACTTTTGGAAGTGTTCATCTAAGCACTTTGACTCATCAAATTCTCTTAATGTGTAAGCCTAAAAATAGTCATGTGTGATCTTGTTTGATTCGTTTTAACATATAGATTATTAATATATAATTTTTATAATTTTTTAATATACAAATTACAAGATAAAATGGATTAAAAAAGTGCATTGGATGGTGTGCAAAAATGAAAGTGTACAAACACTCAGGGACGGAGGGAGTAATATTTACTCCGGGTATCTAATTTTTTGTAATATATCCTATTATATGACAACTCCATATGATAATAAGATATATTCCCTCCGTCCCATAAAACCTTTCTCCTTTCTTTTTTTTATCCGTCCCACAAAACACTTCTCATTTCTATTAAAAAGTCACTTTTACCCCTTACTTTTTCATACCCTAACTATCACATCATACCTTTCTACTAATAATCTATCCATCAAATCATACTTTTACCGTATTCATTTACTACGGAATGACATTTTTGGAAATTCAATACCAAAATACATTCCCCTTAAATCCCTCCTAAAAAGCAAAACTCTCATGTTTCACAGGACGGAGGGAGTACATAGTATACATATGGAAATATTTTTATTTTTCTACACATATTTTTTATATATAAAGATGTGATATACATTGAGATGCTAATAAAAATTAATATATACACATAAAAATTGGGGAAAACTATGTATAACGGATCAGATATACAGATAAACTGTTACTCAAACGGATTTTATGCAGAGCCAATTATAAACAAACTGGATGTATGATTACTAAATCCTTGTTTGTTTACTAATCAGAAGTCTTTAATCGATTACGGATAATAACCGATTTTAACAGATGTAGATATTTTCCGTGTAAACGAATTCGGATGCGGACGGTAATTGAATTTTCCATTATCCATTTAAAGCCTAGAGTGAATAAAGCCCTTACAAACCACACAATATTTTCAAAATAAATATCGGCGTATATTATTTTCTCCGCAATAGATAATTTCTCGAACATAAAATTGATAACTTCATATGAGTTTCCGGCACGTAATTGTTATTTAATCATAGATCAAACATTGATTTTAATTAAATGTAAAAATCAAAATTGGACAAACCCTTTTGGATAGAAAGGGTAAATAACAAAGTTCATGCCCACGTTTGGTGCGTGTACATCTAAATTTGACTAACAAAATAATATATAAATTTCACCCTAAATAGGACTAAAACATAGAAACAAATACCGAAATAGAACTTTCATGTTTTTTCCCGAAATAGGACTTCACAATGTGGTAATGTGACACTGTACATGTGTACATTACTATACTTTTTGGTAATGTACATGACCATGTTTGATAATGTAAATGCATTTTAAGTCCTATTTCAGAAATAAAAACATTTAGTCCTATTTTGGTATATATTTTCAATGTTTTAGTCATACTTTGATCTTTCTCCCAATAATATATTCCGTAGTAAATGAATACGGAATACTATTCAAGGCACCTGCTAATCTGCTCAGGGCCGGTCCTGAGAATTCAACAACTTGGACCAAAATAAAAAAAAGGCCCTAAATATAAAGTCTAGCAAATTAGAATACTAGTATTTAACCCGTGCAACGCACGAGGTCAAACGAATGTTATTTTTAACTCTTTTAAATGTTTGTTTTAAGTACATAATTAAAAAATGAAACTAAATATAATAGACAATGTTAGAATTTTAATGAATGATACAACACAAACAAAGTATGATAACTAAATTTAATGGGATACAAAATTGGAATAGAACGGATAAATGTATTAATTAAATCCAAATTTTTTGAAAAACTTCATGGTAAACCACATTTTTGGTGCAATTGCTAGAGTTACCACTGTCATCTAAAACTAACACTTTCAATTGACATAGTACTTTAGATAAAAGGATTAACCAAAGAATCCAATATTTATAATTTATAAACTGTCTAACACAACAATAAAAACCAAAAAGAAGGAAATAATACTCTCAAGATAACGTAAAAGTTCTAGACTTAGGGGCTGTTTGTTTCAGCCTCTTAATGGTTCAGATGTCTAAATGATTCAGTACTTAATGGTTCAGACTGTTTGTTTCAGCCTCTTAATGGTTCAGATGTCTGAATGATTAAGAGATTTGCCTCTGAATGGTTAAGTATTATACAGAGTCTGAATGGTTAAGAGCTTTTATCTGAATTGATCAGACATTTGCCACTGAATAGTTAAGCAATATATTAGCTCTTAATGGTTCAGACCTCTTACTGGTTCAGCACTTAATGGTTCAGACCTCTTATTGGTTCAGCACTTACCTATTCAGAAGTTGCCAAACAGCCCCTTAGTTTTCTCTATTTTAACGGACTTCATCTTCTTGCTCGACTTATCTCCATCGCCATTAAATTTTTCCACCTCTTTCATTCTCTTGTTCATTGTAGAGTTAGTGATATCATCTCCGTTTTGCGCCAACTGATTATCCTTTGATCCCACAATCAGCCACAACACCTGCCCCAGCTTGAATGTGGGCAACCCACTCTCTTCATCTGTTTACGTGCTTGTAAGAGTACATTAGGTCATGACGCCCTCCAGATGGAAAAACAATGGTCCTTACAGCCAGGGCTATGTCCATATCCCCTGAATATGGAAATCCCCCCAAATCCACCACCGTAAGGTCTATGCCTCGTCGCTTCAAGCTCATCTATCAGTTCCATGGCATTCACCTGTTCACCCACCCCCCACCCCACAAACCCCAAGAGTGAAAAAGGGTATATGAATGCAAAGAGGCTTCAGCGGGCAATGTAGTGCTCTACTTTTAACCCCAAAGAAGACACTAAGGTTAACACTGCCACAAACGATTAGAATCTTGTGAGAAGCCTTGACAGTGTCAACCTTGATGTCATCCGTGAGGTGAGTAGAAGCATGACACTAATTACAAATGGAGTTCATTGTAAAGTGTTCAAAATACAAAACTGATCCCATCACATAAGTACAATCTTACTATATACAATGCTAGGATATGATTTTGAACAGTGTTCCCGCCCAAAATTTGGGATCCAATTGGAAACAGTAACGGGTCAGGTTAGTGGGCCAAGTATTGGTAAGGGGGTAGGTCTCTACGCCATGAAAAGGAGTGCTCTTTATGTCCAATCATATTTATTAAACTCTTTTCAGCAAGGAGGGCACATATATCTATAGGGGGCACGTCAATCCAAGGCTGACATGTTAGCTTTCCAGCTGTGGCATATTAAATATTGCAACACAACAGATTTGCGAATCTTTAGATGAAATTTCACATCTTACTATAAAGAAAAAGTAGTGTACAGTTCAAGGCAATTTAGGGCTACAGAGTAAAAAGGAAAATGGGGAATTAAAAGGCCCAAATTCAGCCAGGCCCAAATTCGGCCATGATAAAGTAATATGCCCTAATATACAGGACAGACCTCCGGCCTATAAATACATCAGAATTCCTCCACACAATGCATCAAAATTTCCCCTTCTCACTACTAAATATCTACCTCTAGATTTCAGTTACCACACTCCCATCGGAGTTCATGTAACCCAAGCCTTCCAAAGTCGACCATTTGCTTCTCGGCGTGGGGAGAGGGGAGGGGAGGGGACTTTTGAGATTCTTTTACAGTCTACAAATACACACACATACATAAATATATAATATAGAATAGAGGCTCAGAATTTAAAATGGCTATAAATTTGAGGAAGAATAAGGAACGAAATCATCATGGCTGCAACAACGGATATTAATTCTGTTATGCCACGCCAAGTTAATTGTCATTTCTCTGATGCCTCAAACATTAAAAGCCTAAGAATCACAAAACTAAGTTTCTCAGTCTTTCCATATCATCATAGCCTTATATTTACATACACAAACAAGTTTACAATTCATGATTATACAGTAGTATATTAAAAATGTATACATATCTATAACTATGATATATATATAGTTTAATACATATATACTAAAATATATATATGTATGTATGTATATATATATATATATATATATATATGCTATGTAATATTTAGCACGTATATACAAAAAAATATACAATAGCTCAGATTTGATACCCGGTTTTTAATATTGAGGCAATCTAGGAAAAAATCGCCATGGCTGCGACAACGGAGATAAATTCCGTTGCGCCACACCAAGATACTTGACATTTTTCTCATGCCTCAAGCATTAAAAGCCTATAAATCACTGAACCAATTTTCTCATTCTTTCAACATAGGTGAAATGGTTCATCATAGTTTTTTTCCTAATTAATTTAGAAATATTTTTTACTATACATTTAGATATAATTTCGAAAATTATATATATATATATATATATAGTAAATTAATGGATATCATTCATATAGGCATAGATTTTTAAATAGGGATTATACAGAATAGGAATTAGATAACTCACAAAATAGATAACATACAAATAGTGATGAGATGTATACAATATATATATATATATATATATATATATATATATATATATATATATATATATATATATATATATATATATATATAAAATCAAGAAATGCGAATAGATCTAAGAATCTTTCTATAAGGGAGACATGCATCATATGTGGCAATATCCATGGATCTAAAGATTAATGTATACTTAATAAAAAATATGATGAAAAAAAATAGAAAATTATCTTAAAGGCTGAGAACAAAACAGAAGATTAAAAAATTAAATAATACACTTAAAACTAACCATTGGACATTGACGTTAGTCGCCGATCAGAGATATGCGGCGGAGAAGGGCGCAAGTGATTACGGTGGTGACGATCGGATTAAGATATTTAAATATATATATATACTTATATATACATATAGATATATATAGATATATATATATATATATATATATATATATATATATATATATATATATATATATATATATATATATATATATATATATATATATATATATATATATATATATATATATATATATATATATATAGATCTACAGATTTACCTATATATCCAAAATATATACTTCGCGAAAAGAAATTGGCTTATGAAAAAAAATCCAGAATCTAAAGATCTTTTTCATTATGACAAATCTTAATGAAAAAAGCTATGAAATCAAAAGAAAACGCCAAACGATCCCAAAAATATTGGCTAAAAATATCAATATCACATAAATCCATTTATGCATCGACCAAAAGAATCGGCTTATAGGGAAACAACCAAATATATGTTTAATAATCAAGAACAATTATATATGACAGAGAGAGAAAGAACAAAGGAGATGCAATCTCAAGAAAGAGAATGCTGCGGAAATGATTTTAGGTTTAGGTAAGGAGGTTTTATATAAACGAGCCTGGGCTGGATATTAATTTGGGCCGAAAAAATATTTGGGCTATTGCCGATTATATATTTATATCTTTGTCCCTAAGTTTTTGTGCATTTTTTATTTTTTTTGGTCAAGTATTTTTTACTTTTGATCTATAATTAAATAAAATATATATTATATATCAATTAGATAAAATAATATATTGATAATATCTCATATAATAAATCTAATAAAAATATTTTTGTATCAATATCTAATAGCTTTTTTTTTAAATTTAAGGTCAAAATTTAACAATTTTGATTAGAAAAATTCAAATGTAGACAAATACTCAAAAACGGAAAAATTAAAGTTATTGGTTTAGTATTTACTGTGCTTGAAAAATGTGGATGAATTATATGAACATAACTTACTCCCTCTGTGTCAAATGAAATTGCATGTGAACTATTCAGATGTCCAACTTCAGGTTAATAGCATGGGTGCCCCATGTAGTTTATAACAAGGGTGTCAAACCCCCATCTGTTTTCAAAAGTTATTTGTAAAGTTCATGTGGTTTCCAAACAGAGCACACATGCTGCCCTTACCTATTTTTAAATTTAAAATGACATTTATACCCTTTGTTTTCTCCAATCTTGAACTTTTCCAATTTCAATTTCATTTATTATACAAATACATAAAATGAAATATACACTTGCCATCTCAAAATAGAATGTTTCATAATGTACTTTTGAAAACAAAAGATTTTTTTAGAGAATGTTACAAAAAAATGAAAAATAAAATATTTTGTACAAAGTAAAAAGTAATAATAGTTAAAAAAGGTAATGAAAAGAAATAAAAATATAAAAAAAATCTTTTTCTCTAACTCCATATTTTATTTCATCTTTGTGTTCTTCATTTTTTAAAGTCCTTAAAAATTTATTTTACTTTTAAATAACAAATAAGTTAGAATTTTAAATTAGAGATAGAGAGAGTATATGTTATCCAATTTTTTATTTTTTTATTTTACTTTTAGTTATAATGAAAAAGTGTATTTTATTTCATTTTTGTAACATTTTCTTAAAAAAACATTTTTTTGAAAATTAAATAAATAAAAAATTTTAATTTGAGAAAGAGGGTGTATATTTTATTTTATTTATTTGTATAACAAAAAATCTAAAGAAAAGAGTGAAATTTGAAGATAGAGAAAAACCAAGGGCAGAAAGGTCAATTCATGTGCAAAATAGGCAAGAGGGGATGTTTGTGCACTATTTAAAAACCACAGGGTGTTACACATAACTTTTGAAAGTAGAGGAGGTTTTGCCGCTCCTTTTGTAAATCACGGGGGTACCCATGCTATTATCACGTCAAACTTCATTCACTTTCTTTTGTTATTTGCTAGAGTAATTTGATCCAATAATATGGGCATGTCATCATTATTTTTGTAGATCTTTTGATGTAGTTGTAAAATATGTAATTTTTGTTTTTTAGTTCTACATTTTTCATTGAAAATGATTTGAAAATAACTCGAGTCAAACATTGTAAACCAAAACGGATGATTTAAATTGTGACGGATGGAGTAATTTATTAAAAGATTTTGAGCCTCTCTTCACCCTAAAATTAACTTCCCGGCTGATATTTCATAGTTACAAATATTTTAATTCCACCATTAAAATATATATTTATATATTAACCTATATTATGTTTCAAAATAAAATTATTAATTTGAATTTAAGAAATTTATCCAGAGAAAACAAATTGCAAAGTAATTTTAGAACATAATGGGTAACGAATATATATCTTAAATAGGTTTGTAGTCCAACTCATGATGTTTTTTCCAAAGTATAGTAATCTTAAAATTGGTGTTATGTGTATTGGTATGGAATCGCGCGCGTAGTAATATTGCTACGTGGCTCGATGCAAAATTTTATGTCAACTCAAAATAAATAAATGAGCACTGTATTGCCATGAACCGTATGTAGTCAAAGAGTATGTAGAATGTGCTTGCCGAGATTGACAATTGTCGAACCCCAAAAAAAAAAAACAATTGTTGAACCCAGTGGCGGAGCCAGGGGTTAGCTTTCGAGAGGGCACAAGATTGAACTACGGGCCGAGGATCTCGGGTAACGTCTTTAGATTTTTTTCATGACAATAGGAAGTGAAAAATTTATACGAGTATTTTTTATACAAATTTGATATTTTCCAAAGTTCTTAATTTAATCAAAACTCTTATTTAAATCAACACAAAACAAAACAAAACAAATGGACAGGGTATTAATCATTTTGAATAACACCGGCATTTGGACAATAATTTAAAATAGAAAAATTTAGGCAAGAGGATGAGATTCAATGGAAAAAATCTTTTATAATGAACATGTATACTCCGTAGTATTTACAATTTCTTTATTATTTGATTATATGTTATTATTATTATTTAATTTTATCATATTCCATCATCAATGTTTTCCTAAATTATATAGTTTAAAATTAGGCCGTGCAACGCACGGGTACGAGTCTAGTAAGATCAATGACCACTAAGGAGACCATGAAGCACATCAAATAAATCGAATATGAATAGAGGAGATATTGAAAAACCTTTGGGGCGCCACTGACAGTTCCGACGGGCGGTGCAGCACGCAAAGCATCCCAACTGCTTGAACGGTCAAGGAGCTCTCCAGTAACCTGCAAATTGGAAGCAAATCAAAATTAACAATAAGAGAAGTGATTCCACTTTTATATACAGATTATGTTCCAACATCACTCATATATCATTCTGCATAAACACATGCTCTAAAAAGCGACTACCCGAGCTCTAACATTTTGTTTCTTCGATCGGTGTGTACTGACTATTTCTGAGGTTAATGCAAGTTGTTCTGGTTGTTCC